GCCGTAGATCCTCTGAACTGTGACAGAGGTCTCACTCTGGAGGAAACTCTCAGCACTTTCCAGCAGCTCCTCCATCATGGAGGACGTTCCCTCACTGTAACAGGTGGAGGAGAGAGGAGAGGAAGCACAGGTGGAGGAGAGAGGAGAGGAAGCACAGGTGGATCCTCTGAGGAAGAGGAGCGTTCCTACAACCACATGATCACATGACCAGAGTTGTTTATGATAAAGTCACATTGATGGGTTTTCAGAATTGTCTTTTACCTGTTATGTCACCATAGTAACTGACTGAAAACATCCATTTCTGTTGCTTATTCTGTTTTTCTTTATTTCAAGCATGTAAATAATCAGTAAGTGACCATGACGGTATCACAGGAACATGTTCCAGTTTGAAGGTCGGTCTCTACCAAAGCAGACCTGTGATCACTTTAAGAAAGTGACCTGTGGTCTGTATGTCGTCTGTCTCTGTCCTGGTCCTCGGGTTTGGGGCCACGTTTGAATTTTCGTTTGTATTTTATTGATTTATTTGTAATTAAATTATAAGTTATTCTAATTTGACAGGCAAGTTTAACTGATTCATAATTTTTTTCCATGTTTGTTCCTGTTCATGTTTTTGGAAAGCACTTGGTAACAATGGCTTTGAAAATGTTTTCTGAATAAACTTTTTTATTATTATTTACTTTTTATAGTGTTTTTTGTTTAACTGTTAGATTTGTTTTCCCAGTCGATGTTTTCCTGGATGTTCCCGTCTCACCTTGTTGTTCATCTCTTTGTCCTCGTCTCTGTTATTATCTTCTTGTCTCTGAATTCATTTTGTTTTGATTTTACTTTTGTTTCCTGTCACTATTCATTAAAACCATAAAGAATGAAATCTACAATAAACTGTTCACTGTGTGATAAAAACAACATGATTTTTAAAAAGGCTTTGAATTTAAAATCTTACAAGTTGTTTACAGTAGATGATTAAGAACTTCAATCTCTGTACGTGCTTTTAATGCTCGCTGCCATCAGTGAGCTAAAGACAAACAAGTGTTGCTGCAGAAAAACTATTATTATTACTTATTTTGGCCAGACAGCCACTTTTTCTCTCTTGTAGTGGCTTTTGTGGTGGCGCAGTGTTTGTTTCATGCAGTGGGGTAAACCCAAATCATGAGATGGTAGCTAAGTAAAATGGTTATGAGTAAAAGAACGCATGTATTGCTAATTAATATCAAACGTAATATAATGAGTTACAGATTTCATTATTTTGTGTGAATTTCAGCGCCCCCTGCAGCCCAGGTAAAGCACTGGTAAGCCTTCAAAGTTCGTACCTGGGTTAGAGAGATCCCACCCAGTTCTTTTTCCTGAACAACCAGGACAAAGTCACAGCCAAGCTTTAAATAAGTGACAAAACACTTCAGTTAAACGCACAGGAGCTTAAAGTGACTTCATTAGATAAAAAAGTGAAATGAATGAATCAAATTCAGATTAAAAACGAATATGATGCGTTTCAGAGTTACTGTTTAAGTTCATGTAAATGTGTATGGGTGCAATAAGCAAAACAGAAACTCATTACAGCAAGTGACAAAAGTGTCTGGAGAAGCCTCCATCACAGCCAGTGTTACTGTGTCATAGAGTAACAAACTGCTTTCTTTCCACATCTGTCTGCACAGTAACGGGACTTCCTCTTTAGTTAATTTATGCTTTCTATTTCGTGTTGCATTATTTTATTTTTAGAGCACGTTACCTGACTGGTTTTGTCCCTGCACTGTTCTGTGTAGCATCTTCAAATGTCCACTAGATGTCACAAAGACACAGTGAACGTGGAACATGCATGAACCTGTCGTGTGGATTATGGCATGCTCTGAATCCACAGACACGCACAACAACAGGGAAATTACACAAAATGCACTCAAAAGATTCAAGAGTTCGTTTTAACCTATGACATAACAGGATAACCAACTTAACCTTTAATAACTATTCTTGAGCCAAAACGTCCTGTAAAAATTTGAACCTGAAACTTCCCCATAAACTCAGATTCCTAAAGTCGAGCAGCCCCACCAACCCCGACTTAACCATCAAAGACGGCAGCAGTGAATGTAAGGAGCGGTTCTGAATCAGGCCTGCATCAGCTGCGTGAGTCGCTGTGTAAACCACACACAGCAGTGCACAGGCTCAGTCCGTGACTGTGCTGCAACAAACAAAAGTAAAAGTGTTCTTATGCTGTGGCGTTTGGATGGTTCTACGTGCTGAGAAGCAAAACAAATCCTGTTTGTCGTGTTTTTCCTGGAACACACCAGCAGCTGTCGGTACTTACAGCTGGAGGAAGGCAGGGCGTTTCCCTCACATACAAAACACAAAGTTCCAGGAACAACAGTGAGGCGTGTGTGGGAGCTCTGCTTCTTCCAGGGTTACCGGACTTTGTGGCTGCTGTGGTTTATAAAGGAGGATGAAGATGTTGCTGTTTCTCCTCCTGAGCGGTAAGAAACTCTCTGAGCTCCGTTTACCTGTTTAACCTGCACTCAGTCACAGCACAGCGCCATAAATTCACTCATTACCGGAAAACAGCGAGTGTGTGAACGATGTCTGAGAGGCTGAGGACCAACAGACTGCGGGCTTTCAGGTGAAAGTTTCTAGCAAGAGACACTAACTAACCACAGTAGCTATGTGCTACACTAGCTCAGTGTGCGTGGGCGACGCTGATATGAGACATGAGTGCAGATAAGCGTTAAGTCGAATGTGATTATTAACAATGTTTGGAGAAACCGACATGAGGTTAATGTGTTGCTGTTGGTAATCAGAAAGCAAACACCTCTTGTCTTCCCTGCTCTGCTGTGTGGTTTTCCTGCGATCTAAAACTATTTTACAAATGCGGACAAACCTGAAAAAATACTGATTACACAATATATTAAAAACCTAAATGCATGTGAGGACGCTGTGAGGAACCTTGGAGTCATTTTTGACCAGGACATGTCCTTCAATGCACATATTAAACAAATATGTAAGACTGCTATCTTCCATTTGCGCAACATCTCTAAAATTAGAAATATCCTGTCTCAGAGTGACGCTGAAAAACTAGTTCATGCATTTATTACTTCCAGGCTGGACTACTGCAATTCATTATTATCAGGATGTCCTAAAAACTCCCTGAAAAGCCTTCAGTTAATCCAAAATGCTGCAGCAAGAGTCCTGACAGGGACTAGAAAGAGAGAGCATATTTCTCCTGTTTTGGCTTCCCTTCATTGGCTTCCTGTTAAATCCAGAATTGAATTCAAAATCCTGCTCCTCACATACAAGGTCTTAAATAATCAGGCCCCATCTTATCTTAATGACCTTGTAGTACCATATCACCCTATTAGAGCACTTCGCTCTCGCTCTGCAGGCCTACTTGTTGCTCCTAGAGTATTTAAAAGTAGAATGGGAGGCAGAGCCTTCAGTTTTCAGGCCCCTCTTCTGTGGAACCAGCTTCCAGTTTGGAACATCTGGTTTCTGACTATAATGTCACTTTTCATTCATCTTAAACTCTGGGTCAAACCCACAACATGTATTTGACTTGAGTTTCTTTGTGTGTCCTCAGTTTCCCAGCATGCTCTGGCTGTGGTGGTGGAGGTGAATGAGGGGGAAAGGTCTGTCCTGCTGCCCTGTCTGTTCTCAGGTATTACACCTGAGGACACCACAGTGATGTGGACTTGCAGTGACCTCGATCCCAAATCTGTTCACCTACAAGGAGAAAAAGGAGGAGACGATGTTACAGGACAAAACCAGCGTTACAGCAGACGCACATCAATGAATCGTTACGCTTTCATCATTAAAGACTTCAGCCTCACTCTGAGGAAACCCACAAAGACTGACAGCGGCAACTACACCTGCTCCATCAGTGCTGGAGGGAAAGAACGGAGACTCAGAGACATCCAGCTGCAGGTCAAAGGTCAGCAACAAGCCCAACACCTGCTGTAATTACAGGTCAATACTCTAGTCAAAGGTCAGAGGTCAAACTGATGCAAATTAATTCCCAAAGTCTTGTAAAAATACAGATGAAACCCGCAGCATCATTTAGCACAGATGTAACCTCAGAGGAAACACGAACAACAAAGCAGAAGATGACTGCAGAGAACTGCTGCAGCAGTGTGTGTTTACCACACACATTTCTGTAAATATGTAAATAAATGATATTCTATGCATCACCCAGCACAAAACACTCAGAGGAATTTTGCTGCTGCTTCTACACTTTATGTTGTGGTTTCTTGTCCTCTCAGACCAGCAGGCGGAGGTGACGGTGAGGGAAGGGTCAGAGTCTGTCATCCTGCCCTGCAACACAACAACTGACCTGCCTGAGGACACCACAGTGGAGTGGACTCGCTCTGACCTCGGACTCATCACAGTCCATGAGTATTCTAACAGAAATGATGAGCTCATGACTCAGGACGAAGTTTACAGAGACCGAACGAAGATGAATGAAGACCTGCTGAGAACTGGAGACCTCAGTCTGACCCTGAAACACCCCAAAGTGAAAGACACGGGACGATACATCTGCACCATCTACAGAGATAAAGACATCCTGACACAGAAAGTAGTGCTGCAGGTCAATGGTCAGTACTGTAAGTTGAGGTCAGAGGTCAGTTTTCTAGATACTGGTCACAGGTCAGAAATCTTTTTTATGCTTCTCCACAGAACCATTTCCATCCTGGTCCAAAGTTTTAGTGGGTCTCCTGGTTCTCCTGGTTGTTCTTGGGGTTTCTGGAGGTCTTTTTTTTCATTTGCGGCAGTATTTCATGTCAGGTGAGTGTCTCCTACTACACTACCCATAATGCCGAGCGTTAGCAGGTGTCTGCTCATGTTTCAAACCTCTTTTCCCCACTCTGCGACACACCTGCCGGGGATCAAACACTGGTTTGTGGCTCTATAAAAAGGAACTCCGTAAACCTTTGACATCTGACAAAAAGTCAGAGCACTCTTGAGACAACCATTCATTTAGTGTTAATGGTGATAACTTCATCAATTTCTTCACAAATACAATTTTAACCATTAGAGAAAGAATTACCCACAAGATCAAGGTGGCACGGAGGGAGGTTAGCAAAGTATCGGAGCTGCAGAAAGGTGCTACAAGAAGGTGCCTAAGAAGTCCAGCAAGCTGTCGATGTCTGAGGCCTTACAAACTGCCAACCAAATACGCACAGACTTGACCAACTGCCAAAAAATGTAGTCAGATGATAACAAATAGAGAAGGTCCTACCAGTGGCTGGACAAAGCTGGACAGAGGCACTAATGATGGCAGCACAGGAACAAGCTCTGAGCACAAGATCCATAGAGCCTGGGGTCCATCATACCAGGCAAGACCCCCGGTGCAGGCTGTGTAAAGATGCCCCAGAGACAATCCAGCACATAACAGCAGGGTGTAAGATGCCAGCAGGCAGGGCATACATGGAACGCCATAACCAGGTGGCCGGCATAGTATACAGGAACATCTGTGCCGAGTATAACCTGGAAGTCCCGAGGTCAAAATTCTCCTAGGGTGGTGGAGAATGACCGAGCTAAGATCCTGTGGGACTTCCAGATACAGACGGGCAAAAGGTTGGGGGCTTACCAACCGGACATAGTGGTGGTAGACAAACAGAAGAAGACGGCTGTAGTGATAGATGTAGCGGTACCGAGCAAGCTCAGGGTACGCAGTGTTATTGTATATGCATGTTTCTGCTTTAATCTGCTGATACTGCTTTGGGCTTGGTGGAATTTAAACACAACAACATTGCTGGCAGAGGTAATGTGATTTCACTATAGTGTAAATTGCATAAACCAGCACATCAAACAGGAAGTCTAGATTGATTCTCTCTTTAACAAAACCTAATCTCTGATCCAATTCAAAGCTTAGACAGAGCTGATAGTTGAGTGGATTTGACATGTTCTCATTGCCTTGAAGCCTTCTAAATGTCTTCCTTTCTTCTTCTGATGAAAACCCAGAAGTCCTGAGTAGTCTTTCAGGCATGGTATTCATCAGCCCCAGGCTGAGGCTCAATCTGTCTGTTCTTCTTCATCCAACATGTCTGCAGCACTTTACAGGATGCTGCGGACTAGTTACCAAAGAACGAGTCAGGAACACATCAGGAACAAACTGAGACACAATCTGACTGAGACCAGAAGACAAGGAGGGACAGGGAGGTCATGTGACCATCATGTTGTGCTTTGTTGTTCCCTCAGGTTACAAGGTGGTGGTGGATTCAGGGGAGGAGTCTGTCCGGCTGCCATGCAAAACTATGGTCAGATTACCCAACGATGCTAAAGTGGAGTGGACGGACAATTCCATTTCCAACAGGAAGGTCCACGTGTCTGACCAGGTTGGAGGACAGGACAAGGTTTACAAAGACCGAACAGAGATGAAGAGGAACCTGCTGAAACCTGGAGACTTCAGTCTGACCCTGAAATACCCCACAGACAAAGACACACACACCTACACCTGCTCCGTCTACAGCCGTGAAGGAAATCAACCAATCATGAGCAAGAAAGTGGAGCTCATTGTCAAAGGTTAGTCGTGTGTTTATATTCAGAACTCAGATATTTCATATAATCCAAATTTGTGACCTTTTACACACTAATTTCATTTTGTGTTTGTATG